TGTCAGTAGTTTGAGAAGAAAAAAAAATTTCCCTGTTAAAGATACATTCCATAATCATTCAAAAAGTAAGTTGAACATTTACTGTATTTTTTTAAAGACCATGAAAAAGAAAAGGGAAATAACACACAGTGGGAAATTCATGAATGCATAATCACTTTCTACAAACAATAAGCAATGTTCCAATAAGCCTCGAGAAATAGCTAATTAACTTTCCAGGTGAGCAAACATTATTCTGTATTCCTGTAGACTTAAAAAGAATCTAAAGATAATGAATAGCAATGTGCTCCTAATTTTCAAAATAAGATTAAAAGGACCCTTGGTCTTTATTGTTTAGCTACTTCAAATCTTATCAAGATAATATAACCTAAATTAGCACAAAAATTAATTTTTGCTGTCCTGGAAAATAAGAAAGCAATGAGTAGCTATTGTTTATGGAGAGTCAATTAGTCTAAAGAAAATTGATGGCTTTTTGATGAAATTATAAAATGAATACAACCCAAAGCACTCTAGATTCAATGACTTGATGATAACAAAATACTTGAGTCTTCCCCACTATATTAATTTAAGATGGCTTAGATAACAAAAGCCAGCTAAGATTTTGCAACTAAAAGAAAAACAGGGATAGGTCATTTAAGGAAAAGGTATAAGCTGAAAAAAGCTATAGGAATTGTAGGCAGAACCAAATGAATTTTAATAATTTAGAAGAAGTGGGTGTATACCAAGGAACTAGTTGAAATTTCCTTAGCATCTGAATTTTAAGTTACAGCAAATATAAGACTGTAGATAAATGCCACAGGGAAGTGAGGTGAGATCTTGGGAAACAAGATTTATCTGGAGACTTGATTAATGTTAAGTTCAAAATTTGGCAGAAACCCATTAAGTGATAACAATGCTTCAGAAAGCCTGAGTATGGGTTGGGGTGGAGGGGACAGGGAAGGCAGTATCATTAGGAGGAATCTACTTGAAAGGGTTAGTAATATAATATGATAGTAGAGAACTGTGGCTCCTCATGAAATTATTACTGCACTTAAAGTGCTCAAAATGAATGCAACAAAAATAGCAAAATCCAAACTGAATTTTAACATAGCTGTATTTTAAATTGTACCTTCTGTTGTACATGTCTTATTCCCTTTCAGATTACACCTGATCCAAATGAAGAGACATCATCAGACACCTAAGATCTTTTCCCTAATAGACAAAAGAATATCCAAAGATCCAGCAGCTTTTCCTAGGGCTGCTTCTAGCTTTCTTTCTCTTTTTCAGAGGTGGGTTTCCCTTCATCTGAAGCTTCCTGGGCCCAAAGTTCTCCCTTGATGTATACATTGTAGTGGAAGGACCCCAATCATACCTTGGGTGGTTTGGGTTCTTTTAATTATACATAGGCCTGTCGATTTATTATTCTGAAGTCATAAAATGGGAATATTCTGGCCTTTGCTGGACAATGATGTCAAACAGACTCTATGGCGTATGCAGCATATCAAAACTAGAACAAAATACTCATGTTTTCTCAACAGATACAACAGTAATTTAAATAGTAAGAACCTCCTCAACATGCTAATGGTTTTTGTGTCTGGTACTGAGAGTCAGCCAGTTTACGTCAGTTATTCTTTCCTCAAATCCACAAAATTAATAAATATGAGAGTTTATGCAGTGGTTTTATAAAAACAAATGTCTTTTGGCCACCATGTTATAAAAAAGTATGGGCCGGCTGAGTGGCGCGATGGTTAAGAACTGGCTTGGGACACCAGAGGGCCCTGGTTCGGATCCCACATATGAGGGCCAGTGACACTGCCCTCTACAGCTAAGATGCTGAACAACAGCTCAACCTGGAGCTGGGCTGCCATGAGTCGCCGGCGACGGCATAGGCTGCAGCCCCTGCTGCAGTGGGTTGCCATGGGCTACAGTGTGTAGCCAGCAGCCACAGTGAGCAGCCGTCCAGAAGCCGGCGACTGATCTGCCTCGCCAGGGAAGAGCGTAATGATGGTGCCAACTTGGGCCAGTGAAGCAACGTCCTCCACAACTAGACTGAAGAACAAAAGGACAGCAACTTGTCTGTTCCCCTTCCCCCAATTCCCCAGCACTGTTCCCATCACCCCAATTCCCCAATAAAAATCTTTAAAAAAAAGTATGACTATTCTCAATATTTCTTAAGCTATTGATGCTTTCTACATCACAGTCTGTACTTTGATATCTCTTTGAAATTGTAGGGTTTTGGATTTGGAGGATATCTAATCCAGCTGTATCCTTTTATAGATGAGGAGATAGAAACTTTGAGAGGTGCAATGGTTTGGCAATGTGGCATAGTCAGTGACAGCAGAGTCTGCAATACAGTTTCTATCAACTGGATTCTATTTCAGTCCTTGAAACAGTCTGCTGCCATTCTTTCTTCTGTTCATCTTCTTGTTCCAAAGTTACTGTTGATATTTGAAAAAAAGGAGCTTAGAAATAGTTATCTGAAAGAAGCAATGTGTATATGTACATGGATATGTATTTGTATTTCAAATAACAATGTATTAATACATTTTCTCCACTTGCTTACTACATTGTTATGCATTAGATATTTAGCATTTGCATCACAAACAAGAATTCTATTTTCACTTGCTATGCTGTTCTGACAATATTATGATGAACTGTATTCTATGTAAGCCACTAAAAATGGCTTATTTAAATCATCCATCCAGGCTTTATTTAGCTTGCACCCAATTTTACATGGTGTTAATTATTTAAAATGCAGATACATAAGATTCAAAATTTACTAGCATTTCATCTTAGGAATTTATTTAGGAAATGAAGTACTGCTCTGTGGTTTCAGAAAAAAATTAATAAATATCTCTGAATAGACGGTAATTTTATGTTCATTTTCAGAGAGATTTAGCTCATACATTAGCAGTGCTATTTCATAACACTCACGATCTTCTAAATTGACTTATTTGATGCTCTTCAGTGTCTATTTTTCTGAAGATTTAGATTTTTATCTCTGTTGCTGCTTTTGAAATATTCTCCATGATTGTGAATCCATCTAATGTAATTTTCACATTTGGTGCCCTTTTTCTTAAATAACAATACAGGGTAAGAACAACAGTTTGGAAGTTCTTCATACCAGCCTTATACTTTGATTCAAAATATGGATAAAATATAAGGAAAAGATAGATAAGAAGAGTTGAAGATCTCTGCATAAGAAAACCTTGTGTTAAAATCAAACAGATGGACTGTGAGGGGTAAGCTGTAGAGTAAGATAAGGTAATACAAAAAATCTCAACAGAAATGAGCCTCTGAGATGTAAAAAGTTGAATAACTGAGTAGCTTTGTTCCCTTTTATTAATACTTTTGCAGAAACCTTGTCTCTACTATGGCCCCTTTCATCTTTAACCTATGTCTTAGCACCTTCTCAGCACCTCACTTAGTTTTGCTTAAAGTAATTCAAGTACTAGTACCAGTTAATAATAATAATAATAATAATAATAATAGCATATAGATTTCTTATGGTTTAATCAAAACCTTCAATAATGCCTATATTTTTATTTGGCAATGCTTGAAATATCTCTAGGGGAGCCAACTATGTCAGCATAGAGATCTATTCTGAAGACAATGTGTCCCATGACATTAAATGTATATTCATTTCTACCAATAGTGTATTTTTTATAGGTTCTGACTTCATGCTAAAATGAAAAGGGGAAGTCTGTAAATATAGCTAGCTGTAAATATAGATAGATTGATATGTGTGTGTATGTATGTGCAATGTGTCAATATTATAATCTCTCTCTCTCTCTCTCTCTCTCTCTCTCTCTCTCTCTCTCTCTCTCTCTCTCAAACCTGTAGGGAAAAGGTCTTTTACCTCTTACCCAAGTAAGTCAGGATTTTGAACTTTGCAGCTAAGCAAATAATCGAGATCAGTGTACATGCTCTGTAACTCAACAATATTTGAACTGCTTTAAAACAATACTCCCTCATTTTGTTGCAGACACCGTGTCCCTGCTTTCTTTCAGGCAGAAAGAAGTCGGTTGTAAGCAGTTAATAGAGTGTTAGTACATGATTCTTAATTGGATAACTTAGCTGTCCCCCTGCCACTCTGCCTGAATTAGCTGAGGATGCTCAAATGGAGTCTTGGCCCAGCGCCTGGGATTGGTGGCTATATCTTTCCAAACGCACACCCTCACTGTCCTTGGGCAACCAATGTCCCTAAATCTGAGAATGCACTTGCAGGCATGTCAATCAGTCCTCAGCTGTCTTGATGTCTGTCTCTGCAGAGCAGCTCAGGCTCCTGGAGGAGTCTCGTTCAATCACAATTGCTGGTAGGGGCAAGCTTGATCTCCTGGTAGGCTTCCCAGGTGCTTAGTTCCAGACCTGCCCGTAGCCTACCAAAATAATTAAAATAAAATGAAATAGCTCGTTCCCGCACTCTCTCTCTCCCATGAGTCACCCCTAGAAGGTTGCTTTCCCCAACCCTCCCAGTGCCAGAAAGGGGAGCAAATGTTATTCCAAAGTGGCCAGAGGAGGGTTAATATATGCTTTGTTATTGAGAGAAGGGGAGGCAAGTATGCCAGGAGAGTGTGTGTGTGTTTGTGTGTGTGTGTGTGTGTGTGTGTGTGTGTGTGTGTGTGTGTGTGAGAGAGAGAGAGAGAGAGAGAGAGAGAGAGAGAGAGAGATGGAGAGAGTGTTTTGCAGGGGAAAATAAGAAGGGAAGAGGAATGATCAGAGGCCAGTACCCCAGCTCCCCTCAGGGCTTCAGAGAGCGGCACACATCGTAATTCCCTTTCCAGAGCCTTACGGCTTTCCACAAACAATGACATCACTCAGGCGCCGCCGACCAGATTACAGCTGGGGGGATTTTCCTGGGAGCAAGGCGGGCCCGGGTGGAGAGATAGAGGAGCTCTCCGGGGTGCTGAAAGGGGCGGGGGCGCGGACTCCCAGGGCGGGGCCCGTCGCTTTTCCGTCCTTCATTGGCTGCTGGCGAGCGGACGTCACCCAGGCTGGTGCTCTCCTCCCGACCCAGTGGAATTGGAGCTGAGGAGGAGCTGAAAATGCAGATTTAGCATCAAGCACAGACATACACTTGCTCTTTCTCTCAGATACACAGAGCTCCCCACATTCGCACCTCTGCCAGCGAGCGGGCCTCCTGACCTCACGGCTCCCCCTCCAGCCAGATGCTGGAGAACACGCATTGATTTGCTGCATTCCAAACCCCTAATCAATCTCTCTACACAAAGATTTCTTTAAAACAAACAAACAAACAAAAAACTACATATATATTTTTTATTTGCACCTTCCCTCCGGGTCCCCTGCTCCGTCAGTGTGCGCGCCTCCTAGCACCACTTTTCACTCCTAAAGAAAGATGAAAGGTGGCTGTGTCTCCCAGTGGAAGGCGGCCTCCGGGCTCCTCTTCTGTGTCATGGTTTTTGCATGTGCCGAGAGACCGGTCTTCACGAATCATTTTCTTGTGGAGTTGAATAAAGGAGGAGAGGAAGAAGCTCGCCAAGTTGCAGCAGAACACGGCTTTGGAGTCCGAAAGGTAAGATCTCTCTTGCATTTCGCATGTTGTTTCAAAACGGAGACAGCCCTGCGCAATCTCATTGCAGATTTGCAAGTTTTAGCTCTTTCTTAAGCGATGCAGACATTCTGCCTTCGGTTCTTTAACACGACATTGCCTCCAGGGACCTTTCACGGGTTATGTAATTAAAATGCCCTTCAAATTGTACTAGTAAGGTCATAAAAAATAATTTATTGCTCTTTGACTTGGTGGCGAAAATAGGATAACACATTTCAAACAATGCCGTGCGCCCAGGCTGCTGTCCGAGGTACCAAGTTCTCAAGGCTGCCTGGGGATGGGAGGATGAAGTGTTGAACATCTGGGTTTGCGTTGGTTGTCTTGTCAGGGATGTATGCTCCTCTCCCATCTCCTGAGAAAGAGTAGTTTCTGACGGATAGGGCTAGAAGCTTGGGGCATTGTTATTCATCTCCGTGCTTTTCGGACCCCGCGCCCAGGAGTACTTCTCTTCCAGTGACTTCGGTCCCTACTTTTTTCCATGGAAAGCAGCTCCCTGGCCCCAGAAGACTTGGAGACCTGAACTGTTTTTTTTTTTCTAAAATCGGGGCAAAATTTATCGCCCTCACCCGCGTCCACCACAGCTCACCCCGGAGCGTACTCCTCTTTAGCTCTCAAGTTCTCCACGCACAGCTATAGAAGCTGGACAGGCAGGTTTTGAGGGGAGTTCCCTGCGGAGAAGTCAGGGTGTCTCTCCTGGTATGTGGGCGGCCAGCTTGGCTTTCCCAGGAGGATGCGGGGGATCCCCATTCTAAGAAGTTTCCAGAGTTCAATCTTTTGGGCAGCTGGGTGAGGCTCCCAACCTAAGATGCCTCTGGACTCCTTTGGAGAGTCTAGGGTACCCATTCTGTGACAGCAAGGGAAAGGAGAACACTGGTAGGAGCTTCAGCTGACCTACTTGCTCTTCCTGAGAAATACCGTGTCAGGGATCTCAAGTGTTCTCAGGCGACCTGGCGAGGGGTGGAATACAGTGAGGGTGCAAGAAGAAACCGAGGCGAGGGGAACCTGGAGGACATAGAGATGCGATTTGGCAGCCAGAGGGCCCGCTGAAGGTCTGTGGGATTCCAGGCCCCATCTCCTTCCTCCTGACCCCTGGAATGAGGCTTAAGATGAGGGGTAGGAGCTTTCTTTTGCCTCTCAAGGGCAGCGCGAGCTGGGACTCCCATCAGTCTCTCTGTCCCGACTTCCCACGCCTCCTACCTCCCTCCCAGCCGCGGCGAGGGTTCCTTCACATACTGCGGGCTCTCCCGCCTCCGTAGGGCGTTGGCAGCCTGGATTTCGACCCCAGGTGGGTTTGACAGCGACTTTGTTAGCGGTCTGGGAGGAGGCGCCGGGTCTGTCAGTGGCGCTCTGGCGGGTCTTGCAGAAGGGAACTTGTTGCTCCCGGGAAGCGGGGGTGGAGCAGGGGAAAGAGGACGCCAGCTGAGGGAGCAGCCCGCTGTCCTTCTGGCCCACGGCCTGGGGACTGTTTCAAGAGTGCCACCAACACAATAAGCAAGTAGACCCTCCTTCCTTCCCACCTCCCTCCCAAAACTTGGCAAGATCCAGGACCCAGAAAGCATAAATATAACTGTGATTATTATTAGCTGAGAGTTATAGGGCACTATTATGTGCTGGAGTCTTTACATACATTCTTATTTATATTCTCAGCAACTATTAGAAAGCTACTATTATTATTAAGCCTATATAAGTAAATTGGCTCTATAAGGCCCAAGGCAAAAACAACCAAGGATTTAAGCCCAGATCTTTCAGAGATGAACGCATGCTTTCATTCCAGTACTTACCAAACCAAGTTAAGTGTTCTGCAGGATATGCTGGGCTTTGGGGTATGCTGAGAAAGGGCCTTTGGTTCTTGAGTAAAAAGGACTGCAGTTGATGCACAAATAGATGTTACTCTCTCACCCTACCATGCACTTTTTAATAGTGTAGGCAGATATTACTATCATAGTGTAGGCAGACATTGCTATCTCCTCTTTACTTCTTTTGAAAATATGTCACTAGGATCTGATCTTAGAAACTTAATCAAATCTAAATGTAGCTGAGACTGATAATGGCTTAATTTACAAATTGTCCAAGAGGGTTACTTTTCTTGTATAGAGGTAAACAACTTAATGAGAGATTTACAAGTTTTGATGATGGAATTCAAGCAAGTGAGTTTGAATTATCTCAATACATTTACCTTAAAATCTCAAGGAACTCATACTTTGGGGTAAAATCAGATACCTACATCTCTTTCTCCCTCATTCTTTCTTGGAGAGAAGCCCACTTGTTTTCCCCCCACAACCTCAAACCTGCAATTCCTATCTAGGAGAAATAGGCTTTTACCTTGCCACCTCTCTCCTTACCTCTCCATAACCTCTCAGAAGTAATATCTCTTATCCAGATGATTTTGCTTTGATACATGTTTAAGTAAAAATCAGTCTATGGCAAGATATTTCTGTCAGATGAATCTTTGCTTGATGCTCCACTTGTCTAGAATAAACTCTCTTTTTCTTCTTTGGATCCATGTCCCACCCATCCTTCAAGACTGAGTTCCTGATAACTGTCGACCACAGTGAACTATTTCCTCTCCAAAATTCCTTTGGGACAAAAAAGCAAAGCCTGCACAACACATGCTAGTACAGCTATCACTTGTCCTTCAGTCATTTCATATACATATGTAAATATTGGTGTATTGCCTTTCTACTTAAAAGGTAAATACTCGGGGGCAGCTTCTATATTTCTGGTTTCCTCACCAGGCCAGCATATTACTGGGTTTGCCAGCCCATAAGAAATCTTTCTTAATCTTACTTATTATTTCAAGTTTCCCAAACACTGTCCTGCTTTATTTTCATCATGCTGTACTGTACTTTTGTCAACATTTGCTATTCATTTTTCATTTAACCTCTAATAACTCCTTCTTTTTTCTCTCTCTAATGCTTAGCATATGCATACTTCCCAACTCTCTACTGCCCCACCCTCTCCTATGCTCAGTGTCAGACACCAAAGATTCTCAGTAATTATTTATTTATCCAAAAGAAGAGTCAGATATGCACACTAGAGGAACATGTTCTTTTACTAAGTTATCTCACCCAACCTCACAACCTGTAAGGTAGAAATTATTGGCACCAGCCCTAATTCTCAGAAAAAAACTTAAAGCTTTAAGAAGTTAAGTAACTGCTGATACTTGGAAAGTGAAAAAAACCTCAAATTTAAAAACGAATTTGCTTTACCAAAAGTAATTTTGTTTTTCTCTCATGCTGCCTCCAGAAAGCCTTTCTTTACTGCCAAGTGCTCTGCCCTTGGGGCACCATTTTTGAGTTCTGATATTTTTCTTTTCCTTTCCTTTTTTACTACTTTTTTCTTCCTAATTTTATTTAGTATTAACATAGGTACCTATATCATTAACTAATGTGTATGAGTATGTATTTCTTCTGGTAGATTGTAAATCTTCCAAGTGGAGAAACAATATACTATGTCTTTTTACGGTTTCTATATTTAGTATGGTAGCCTGTATATGAGATATTCAATAATATTTGTTGATAATTCTGCCTAACCCTTAAAAGACCATAAGCAAACAATATTTCCTCTCTAAAATGAAGTAACTTTACCCTCAGAAAGGTGTATTGAGACTAAAGTTTTATATTTTATTATGACTTGGCCCAAAGATGTATGTTTATCAAAGCAGATGCATATATCTAGGAGAGTGAGTGAATTTACAATTATAACAAATGTTATTTCAAAGAGTGCCTTAAAATTCTCAATACTGACTCTGGGTGGTGAGCACACAATGCAATATATAGTTGGTGTATTATAGAAATGTACATTTGCAACCTATGTAATTTTACTAACCAATGTCACCCCAATACATTTAATAAAAATAAAAAACCTGAAAAAAAATTCTCAATACAGTACTTATTTTAATTCCCTTGAAAAAAGAAAACAAAAATTATTTGCTAAAGCATGTGTTGAGGGTTAGTTAAAAATCAGGTAAGAATTAAGGTAAAAATACAAACTGACAATTGGGTGTTTTTGTTTTGCTGTGGTATGTTTTTATTTTTATCCATGTGGGACTGAAGTTAGGGTGATTACACTTGTAAAATCATGTAAGAACTTTAAAATGTGTGACAGTTCAAAATGTTTTAAACCTAGTAATAATTGTGCTCTTATGTAATGAAATAAAATTTTGGTTATTTTAATTTTATTGAAGCATAAAATAATTTATGAAAAAGCACAGCTTAACACATTTTCCTCAACTGGGCACATATGTGTAACAAGCACCCAAATCAAGAAATAAAATATATCAGCATCCGATAAGTCTTCCTCTTGCTCATAGTTTTTAGTTTTAGGCTATTATAAATATTGCTTCTGCGCATATTGTGGTATATGGATGTTGGTGAACACATATGCCTTTCTGTTGGGATCATCCCAAGGAATAGAATTGTTGAATCAAGGAGCAGGCATACATTTAACTTTATGAGACTGTATCAGTTCTATTGCTGTGTAACAAATTACTAGAAATGTAGTGCCCTAATGGGCCGGCTGAGTGGCTCAGTTGGTTAAGAACTCGCTCAAGACTTTGAGCTCTGAACAACAGCGGTTGGATTCCCAGCCCGAGGTAAGCTGCCGCTGAGCTGCCAATGAGCTGCTGCTGAGCTGCCAACAGGTAGCAGGATGGCTCAGCTAAAAAAAATAAATAAATAAAATAAAACTAATAAATGTAGTGGCCTAAAACCACACAAATTTGTTATTTCATAGTTTTCATGGATAAGGAGACTGACACATTTTAGCTGGGACTTCGGCTCTAGCCCTGATAGGCTAAAATCAAGATGTTGACCAGCTGTGTCTTCATCTAGAGGTATAACTAACGGGAAATCCACTTCCAAGCATATTCAGGTTGTTAGAACTTAGCTCTTTGTCGTTAAAGGAGTCTTCATTTTGTTGGTGGCTACTGGACCAGGACCACTCTTAGCTTCTGGAGGCTTCTT